CATTCAATTAAGCCACTTGTCGTTAATATTTAACAGAAAAGATAATGTGACAGTTAAAATATTTGATATTATTACACATTTTGTCCATGTTACTTGTATATTCTATCAATTTACTCCTAATTTTAATAAATTAAAATAAACTTAACTCTAAAATCAAATGGTGCCAAAGTAGTCTTTATTCATTTTATTTTTTCAATTTGTAGGAAAAAAACAAGAAAGAAAATAAAATAAAACTTACAAAAAATTGATTTCATTTATGAGAAATTAAAAAAACATATCAAACGCTTTGATTTCAAAAATACATCTATATTAAGTAAAATCAAAATTTAAACTCTTCAAAAATTAATCCAAAACAATTAGATTTTACTTATATTGCGACGAATTAGGTAAACGTAAAGTTATAATATTTGGATAGCCGAGTAATAAAAAATAAATATTTTTAAACAAACAATCTAAAAGTAATTACTAAATAAAATATAACATTTAATTTAAACTCCTAAAATCATTGAAAGAGATAATTTAAACACATGAATTTATCATACTAATTGTCTTGAGTGTATCACTGTAAATATAATATTTTAAGCTAAAAAAACCGAGAACATGTAGAAATGCTGACACGCATCATCACAAAACATTGACATGTTTATTTTACTTTATTATTTGAAATAATAAAAGTCGATAAAGAGAAAAGAAAAATTGTATGGCTGACATTAAATTGGATTTCTATCTAGTTAACTACTTTGGCATATTTGAGGGTTAAGTTTAATTTAATTTATTAAAATTAGGATCAGATCGATAGAATATATAAGTAACAGTAATTAAATGTGTAATTCTATCAAATATTTTAACTATCATATCAACTTTCCATTAAATATTAATAGCAAGTGGTTTATTGAATGCAATTAAATAGTACTTGAGTAATATGATTGACAAAATTTTAAAAAATATTGTTAAAAAAAAGAATAATTAGGTGGTCACTGATATAGTTTACATTTATTTTAAATAATTACTTTTAAAGTTTCAACTAATTTATAATTATATTTTGAGTCCTTTAAAATTTTAACATTTTATAAATTAATTTATCGATATTCATCATTAGTCAGCGTCAAAAAAATTCATACTTGGTTAGTTGTATTGATATTTGTATTGTGGGTGTACGTACATGTTTATTATTTATTTAAAATATTTTATGTGTATTGATATGTGTATTGCAGGTGTACGTACATGCTTATTTAAAAATGAATATAAATTAATAAAATTCTTTTATGTTTAAATTTATTAATAGAAAAATATTTTAAATAACTAAAATTTATATTTTAATAAAATATTATAAACTAAAAATGCTTCCTATATAAAAAATTTTATCCCAAAGATAATATTTAAAATTTATCACATTGTATGTAGAGGTGGGTATACGGGCTACCCGCCCGTTTAGCCCGCGGGTTTTGACGGTGTCGGTTTAAACGGAACGGTTTAAAAAACTCGCATTCATAAACGGTTTTAAATTTTAAGGCCCGCGGCCCGTCCATTTAACCCGCGGGCTAAACGGGCTTACCCGCGGCCCGTTAAATAACAACAATTTTAAATGCTTTAAATGAAATAAAAATAATGTTCTAACTTGCTACACCTTTAAAAATGATCCATCAACTTGAAAAGGAAGGTAACACCATCAAAATAATAAATCATATTTAAATTTTATTTTAAATAGTCGGAAATGATTATAAAATAATTCTTTTTAATTTTTTAATAATTAATATATATATATATATATATATATAATGATATAATTACTTAAACTCAAATTTAAAAAAAAAACAATATTCACTTATATCACCAAATTGAAAAACAAATAAAACAATAACCACATTATACTTTTATAAAACACGATTATTCAATACTATATATGAAGACACAGAAGTGTTGCAAACATAAATTCAAACATAAAAATTCAACAAAGTCAAACATTATACAATCTAACAAGAAAGTTGTCAAGTGGTCCTAATAATTGTATTTTATGGATACTTTAGAAAAAGACTAAAACATAATATGAAAATATAAAATAAAATACTTACAGAGTAAATTTGAAAGATACAATTATATTAAAATTGATAAAATATAAGTCATTAATTTGTTAAAATATATTTATTTTGTAAAAGCCTTTTAAAAGTTGAAAATATGTTTTCAATTTTTTCTTTTACTTTTCTTTCTTATTTTTAATCCAAATATTACATATCATGTGATATATTATTAGAATATCACGTGACTTTTTATAATTAAAAAACGAAATAGATAACATACTTCATGAAAAAAATAAAGGTCAAAATTAAATTAAAAAAATCTTTAAATACCAAAGTGTTAATGATGTAAATTTTATAAGACTAAAATACTATATAAATATTTTAATTTTAATTTTTTAAAATGAAGAATAATTTGATACATTGTAAATGAAAAAAAAATATAAAGCAACGGTAGAATTATGACAAACGCCCAAATAAATTTAAGAACTACAACGATTATAAGTAACATTATATTTATAGGTAATTTATTTTCTTTTTCTATAAAATTTTTAAAGTTTATTTTCTCTAAAATTTTATAAATTTCAAATTAAGCGGCTATTACGGGCTTCACGGGTTACCCGCGGTTATACCCATTAAACCGCGGGTTTAACGGTCCGAAATAAAAAAACCCGCAATTTAAACGAGCTTTAGTTTTTAAGGCCCGAAACCCGCACGGGCCGCGGGTTAAACGGGTAGCCCGCGGGCCTTAACCCATATACCCACCTCTAATTGTATGAACCAACTTATCTCAATGGTTAAAGGAATCGTTGTTGTTCTTAGAGGTCACGAGTTCGAGCACCAGTTTTAGCACGGTGATTGAGCATTCATTGTCCAAAATGGTTGAGAATATTTAGAACAGATACTACTTTATAATCACATTAGCTTTAAAAAAATCATCACATTATCATTAAACATCGATGATTTAAATTTTAATTTCATAAAATTTAAATATTAAAATATCAACAATATATCTTAAATAAAAAATAAATTTAACATGTTTTTCTGATTCGTATATCTTAATATAATCAATATAATGTTTTAGGGTAAAGTACATAAATGTTCCTCTACTATAAGATACTACTTTGTTGAGTCCTCAAACTATTAAAAGTTACAAAATGGTCTCCAACTAAAGAATGTTTATTTATTGAGTCTCTCAACTTCTAAAAGTTACAAAATAGTTACTCGACTATTCATGAAGTTCCAAACTCATTTTTTCTGTTAAAAAATTAACAATCACCTGAGTTGGACGTTAACCTAATGATTGAGATATGATAGTCTTTTGAGATTATGAGATCAAATTTCATCATATCTTATTCAGCAGGTTAACGTCAAACTCATATTGTCGTTGTTTTTTAATGAAAAGGGAGGAATTCGAAACATATGAATAGTCGAGTGACCATTTTATAAATTTTAAAAATCGAGAGACTCAACAAAATAACGCCTTATAGTTTGGGGACCATTTTATAACTTTTAATAATATGAAAACTCAACAAAGCATTATCATATAGTCAATGACTATTTATGTATTTTACCCATATTTGTAGTACTTAGACTTCATTTGAAAATCAAACTTTATGTAATTAAATAAAGGGCAAACTATACCATTGACCACAACTATTGAACCCTTTTACTTTTAATTTTGTCAATTAAACCACTTACTATTTAATTGTTATTAATCAAGCCACTTGTCGTAAACAGTTGACGGAAGTACTGACGTGACAATTAAAGAAATTGATATAATTATACATTTAGTCCTCAATACTTATACATTATGTCAATTTGATCATAATTTTAATTTAATAAATTTAATTCTCTAATCATATTATGACATGTGTCACGACATGAATGGAGTGTATTTTTTAATTTAATTAGCTTATTTCCACTCAATCATATGGTGACACATGTCATCATCGAATTGGATAGAAAATTAATTGTAGAAAAAGAAATATCAAAGAGAGGGAGTAATGGGAATCAAACCTATGTCAGGCTAGTTCTGAAACCAATGCCCAAACCACCAGGCTAAAAGTATTGCTAGTTATTAAAATGCAACATAGTTAATATGGGATATTGTAATGAATGAAAGAAAATAAGTTAAAAAGAATTGTAACTTAAGTTAAAAAATAATTTAATAATTATATATATGTATATATGAAATTATTCATGAACTTTTTAAAATTGTTACTTAAGCTTAAAAAAATTAGTTTGATGATTTTATATATAAATTATTGTTAACTCTATAAAATAATTTATTTATTTTTAATAATTTCATAAATATTTTAATAAAAATAAATTAATTTATATATATAATTATTAGTAAGAAAATTAAAATTATATATATATTTGTTAACTTTATATGTTATATGTTGCACTCTGATACGAAGCATTGCTCCTCGTTTGGTGATTTGGGTGTAGGTTTTAGAACCAACCTTGCGTAGGTTTGATTCCCATTACTCCTCCTCTTTATGATTTCTTCTTCTACAATCAATTTTCCATCTAATCTATGTGTCACCATATGATTAGGTAAAAAATAAAATAATTAAATTAAAAAATATCTTCCATTCATGTTTTGACATATGTTATAATCTGATTAGATGATTAAATTTACTAAATTAAATTAAAATTATTATCAAATTGACATAATATATAAATATTGATGACTAAATGTATAATTATGTCAATTTCTTTAATTGTCATGTCAGAACTTCCGTCTACTATTAACGACAAGTGGTTTAACTAACAACAATTAAATAATTAAGTGAACTGATTGACAAAATTAAAACATTGATGACAAAAATAAAATAATTGAGTGGTAAATGGTAAAATTTACCCTTAAATTAAATTTCTAACAAATACTTATTAAATAGCAGAAGACAACAAAAGATTCTTTAATACAGATAAGGCATAATATAGTCTTGACTCTTGTTGGAATATTTTAATTTTTAACAGTCACTGTGGATATGATTTCCCTTTCCTTTTTCATCTTCCTTCACAGAGCAGAGAGGAATAATGGCAAAAGGAGATTCTGCGTTAAACCAACAATGGTTTGGTATCTCAAGGTGTGGGCTACGAAACATCATCAATTAAACAATTCTAACATCAAACTTTAGGAGAAAAAACAAAACGGGAAGCCGGGGCTCACCGGCCTTTGTCGTGTCCTTGTCGATATGGAAGCCATAGCTATTTCTCTGGCCGAAGCAGTCATGTCCGGCTTGTTCCGTTCGCTGTCGGACCTCATCTCCTCCACCCACTTCAACAGATTCGATCGCAGAGACAAGATTTTATCGGAGCTCAAGAAGTGGGAAAAGTTGCTGCTCAAAATCAATGCTTCCCTCGAAGACGCCGAAGAAAAGCAAACCACGAGCAGATCCGTCGAGTTTTGGCTCCGGGACTTACGGGACATTGCTTACGATGCAGAGGATATCGTCGACGAGCTCGCCTACGAGGCGCAGCGCCGCCAAATGAAGGAAGAATCCGATCCCTCTTTCTCCTCTCGCTTGGTGAGGAAATATATCCCGACTTGCTTTCTTAGTTGTAATCCATCACATATTAAGTTTAGCTCCAGAATTGAGTCCAAGATACTGAACTTAACTGCTAGACTGGATGATGCTGTTTCAATTAAGAATGATTTGTGTTTAGTTGAGAATGGTAGAGGAAGGTATGATAGAGTGAAAAATACGCTAAGAATCAGTAGTTCTCTGGTAGATGAGTCTCGTGTCTACGGTCGGGAATCGGATAAAGATGCCGTTATCGATATGCTGATGAACGATGGCTGTGATATCGGTGATATTGGTGTGGCCTGCATTTGGGGTATGGCAGGTGTGGGTAAAACCACTCTTGCTCAGTTGGTGTACAATGATACCGAAGTCAAGAGCTTTTTCGATTTGAAAGTCTGGGTTTGTGTCTCCGAGGAATTCGATGTTGTCCGGTTGACGACGACCATGCTTCAGGCTGTTACTGAAGAGAGTTTCAGTGTAAAGGATCTGGATTTACTCCAAGTAAGACTAAAGGAGAAGCTGTGTGGGAAGAAATTCTTTATAGTTTTAGATGATGTGTGGAATGAGAACTATGAACAATGGGAGCTTCTATGTAGGCCTTTCATTGAAGGGGCAGCCGGAAGTAAAATTCTCGTGACAGCTCGAAACGAATCTGTTGTATCGATGATGGCTACTTGTGGGACTTATCATCTAAGGGAACTCAAAAACGATGATTGTCTCTCCCTGTTCACTTGGCATGCTCTTGGGGCTTCGGGTTTCGAAGGTCACCCTCACCTTAAAACAATCGGTGAGGAAATAGTGAAGAAGTGCAAAGGCTTGCCATTGGCAGCTAAGATCCTCGGAAGACTGCTTCGTACTAAAGGAAACCTGATGAGTGGGAAGACATAATTAAGAGCAAGATTTGGGATTTACCTGAAGCAAAAAGCGGCATCCTTCCTGCTCTGAGATTGAGCTACCATTACCTTCCTTTCCACCTCAAGCGTTGTTTTTCTTATTGTGCTATATTCCCAAAGGATTATGAATTTGGCAAGGAAGAGTTGATTCTGTTGTGGATGGCAGAAGGTTTCTTGCACCCCTCGAAAGGAAACAAGCAGATGGAGGACATAGGAGTTGAATATTTTCGTGATTTATCGTCAAGGTCCTTTTTCCAGCAGTCAACTGGTAACAAAACGTTGTACGTGATGCATGACCTCATAAACGACCTTGCTCAATTTGTTGCCAGAGATATATGCTTCAGTTTTGAATTTCACGAAGACAAATTAAATGATAAAGTTCGGCATTTTTCGTTCGTTCGTAACCAATACGACACTTCAAAGAGATTTGAAATGTTGTATCAAATGAAAAGATTAAGAACACTGGTGGCATTACCAGTTCATAACTTGCCATGGGCAACAGAATCCTATTTAAGCAATAATGTCTTACAAAAGTTGTTGCCGAGGTTAGTCTGCTTGAGAGTGTTGTGTCTGAGTGGTTACTGCATCGATGAGCTACCGCATCATATAGGCGGTTTGATACACTTACGGTACCTGAATTTATCTCACACCAGCATCAAATCATTGCCTGATTCTGTGGGATCTCTTCTCAACCTACAGACATTGATACTGCATGGGTGCAACAACCTTACCAAGTTGCCTCAATCAATTGAGAATCTGATTCATCTTCATGTTATTGATCTTACCGATACTGATAGTCTAACAGAGATGCCAATGCAGATTGGCAACCTGAAAAAGCTACAGATTTTGTCCAAATTCATTGTGCAAAGGGGTAGCCGGTCTGTCATCACAGAATTGAAGGGCTTGTCGCATTTGCAAAAGGACCTTTCCATTCTTGGACTAGAAAATGCGGTTGATACTCGAGATGCTAGTGCTTATGTTCTGAAGGATAAGCAGGGCCTTAAGGGGTTGGATTTGCAATGGAGTCATGAATCGATTGATCATGGAAACGGTGACGATGGAATACATGTTTTCAACATGCTACAACCTCATCAAAACCTTGAAAGAGTTCGAGTAGCATTTTATCCTGGCACAAAGTTTCCATCTTGGTTAGGAGGTTCCTCGTCGACTAAAATTGTGGATATAAACCTCTCCAACTGTAGAAACGTTACGTCCCTTCCTGAACTTGGGAGACTACCCTCACTCAAGAAGTGTTCGATCGAAGGCATGAATGGAGTTAAGAGATTGGATATTGAGTTTTTTGGATATGGCTTAAATTCTTTAAAACCTTTCAAGGTTTTGGAAGTTCTTCAGTTCAAAAACATGTTGAACTGGGAGGATTGGGACTATCCTGACAAAACTGATAAAGAAGACGGGGAATTCCCGAGTCTCCGTGAGCTTATGATTGATAACTGTCCAAAGTTGCATCGGAAATTACCCGCATACTTGCCTGCTCTGGTGAAACTTGCAATCAGAAGATGCCCCCATGTGGCTTATTCAGTAATGAGCCTCCCATCTCTTCTTGACCTTAGTATTGAACATTGCAATAAGATGACTCCAAGGAGCATGGTCGACCTTACATCTCTAACTACACTGAAAATCAAGAGTTTGTCGGACCTTACATCTCTGGCCGATGGGTTCGAACAGTTTCCGGGAGCACTTCAGCATCTTATCCTTTCCCAATGCACCGGGTTGACATCATTGTGGCGGAAAGGTACCGAATTTTTAGAATGTTAGTTCTATCGTTCATGCAAAAATTAATGTTTGTTCTCTTATATATTTTTCTCACTGACAGGAAAGGAAGAGCTGCACCGCCTAGTGTCTCTTGAGCGTTTGTGCATTGAATCATGCCCGAAACTTGTATCCTTTCCCGAGACATGTTTGTGGTCGACGCTTAGACGTCTCTGGCTCAGAGATCTTCCACTGCTTAAGGACCTGCCTTGTTGGATAATGAGCCACAATGAACTTACTGGCTGTTTTCTTGAAGACTTGGAAATCGAAGATTGCCCTTCACTCACATGCTTTCCAAAAGGGAAGTTACCTCCCACATTGAAAAGGTTAAAAATCCAAGATTGCGTTCGACTTAGTTTGCTACCGAGGGACTGATGCAGGTCGGTAACGACACAATTGCATCTCATCTCGAGCATTTGGAGATCATCGGCTGTCAGTCTCTTGCTCGCTTTCCACAAGGTAGATTACCAACTAGCCTTAAAATTCTTAAGATTTTGGACTGCTCGGAGTTGGAGCCATTTTCAGATGAGATGTTGCCTGATAATGCATCACTCGAATACATTTATATCTGGAATAGTTCTACTCTAATAAACTTGCCAGATTCTCTAAACAATCTCTCATGTTTGATGGAACTGAAATTAAGCAATTGTCGGGATCTGAAATACTTCCCGGAGATCGGTTTGTCCCTCCCAAGCCTGAGATCTTTGGACATCAATAGTTGTGTCAGCCTCAAGTCTCTACCTAATCAGATGCAAAATCTCACTTCTCTTCGATATTTCACGGTTTGCGAGTGTCCAATTGTGTGTTTTCCTAGAGGGGGTTTGCCTCCTAATCTATTGTCACTCGAGATCTGGGATTGTAAAGACCTCAAGGAACCAGTATCAAATTGGAACTTGCATACGTTAACCTCACTTGAAGACTTGAGGATTGCTGGTGGAGAGGATGTGGTTTCCTTTCCAGATGAAGATTGTCTACTTCCAACGACTCTAGTTTCGATATACATCAAGGAACTCCATAATCTAGAATCCCTGTCCAAGGAGCTTCGAAATCTGCCTTTGCTTGAAGAGCTAGAGGTCGTCGACTGTCCTAAGCTTCGGTACTTGGAAGGGTTGCCTGCAACACTTGGAAGACTTTACATTAGGAACTGCTCAAGTCTAGAAGACAAATGCTCAAGGGAGAAAGGAGAATATTGGCCCATGATAGCTCCCATTCCCTGTGTGAAGATAGACCCTACAGATTAGTGCGCTCCGGCAATTCTGCTTATGTTAATCGAGGTAAGCGTAGTCTTTTGATTTGAATGAACAAACCATTTCAGTTCAACTTCCATAGATTGGGCCAAAGAAGGATGGGAAGGAACTTAATAAACAAGGAAACTTTGTTGTACAGAACTGACTGGTTCCATATTGTTGTACTTGAAATGCATTTGATCCTGAATTTGAGTTCCTTGGTCCATTGATCATGTTGTTGTGGACAACAGGTTGCAATCGACTCTACTTATTATTGAACCCGTTCGATAGTGAATTTGATGACTAAGTTAGACTGTTGGTGCATGCTTGTTGCAGAGAAAATTCAACCAGGGGGCTCAATTTGTGCCTAGGATGAGTTGAACAAATAGCAGTGTGTAATAGGTATTATATTACATGGTAGAAATAATTATCTTCCCTAATAATTACTTTGTGATTAAGAGTGGATTTTTTTAAAGGTCCAAAGTTCAATTATAGAAATATCAAAATATAATTTCATTATTGTTTTAGTTTGTAATTATGTCATCATTTAATAGGACTTCACTGAAATCTATTATTTTGAAGGTGAAAAAAAGGTAATTTTATCATTGTCTTGGTTTTAAAGCTTGAAACTTTAAAGGGTTTAGATATGAAATTTTACCATTTAGGGAGGCAAGACCCTTTAACATCACTAATCCACCACAAATCTTGTGCATTCTCACAATTCCTGATTTACCCTTAATCGGCGGTTCGCTTCGATGTCGTCCACCGTTCATACCTCTAATCCAAAGCTCCCAAAACAAAGACGGATCTCATTGATTAGCCTCATCTTCCTGATATTCTTGCTTATTTCTTCAGAAATTATCTCAACAGGAGAGAGGACTACTACTGGTACGAGAACTGACGGATTTCAAAGTGGCGGCGACTGAGTATACATGGGCCCAATTGGTCGGATCTCCCCCTGAACATCCTTGAACGTATAATTGGACGTTTGCGTTGGATAGATCGAATCCTGATACGAGCAATTTGCAAGGTTTGGTCAGTCCCAAGCACTCATATTCCTGCCATTGATGAACTCGACTGGGTAATGAAATTTTGTTGGCTTTTTGCCTGTTTGTCTCTAATGCAAGGTGAGTGCCGGCTGCTTGACCCTCTTTCCCGAGAGTACATTGTCGAAGAAAGGAGCAGAGGAATAGAGTATCTACTTTTTCTTAATGCACGCCCTTGTGCTTTTTTATATGGGTGGGTTCTTTTCAAAGTGCGCTACTTTATTGAAGGAAACCCAGAGTCCCTCTTTTTGTACTCTCCGTTTACAACCGAGGTAATTAAGCTTCCGTATTTAGGAGGACCTCTCAGCTTTCAGGTGGCGGCGTTGGCCTTGAATGCAACATCTCCAAAATGTACCATCTTTCTTTTGTGGGAAAAATTTATATCAAGTTATGTTCTGCCGGTGATTGTTCATGGAAGACTTCTGAGTTTGATGGTTCTCATCGGTTTAATCATGTTGTTGATGCTGCCAACACCAACGGAGTTTTCTATTGTGTTTTTGAAGGTGGTCAGTTGGGTGCCTTCAATGTTGAACTTAAAGGGTGCACTATTCTGGTCGATCATTGTCCACTCTCATAAAGTAGTTTGCTCTATGCTAAACTCATCGTGTCTGGTGCAGATCTGCAACTGTTGGGTGAATGCTCATCTTTGGAACTCCTTGGGCTTGATTTTACAGAGATGGATTGTGTTTATGAAAATGATTTGAATGACCGGGTGTTGTTTATCGGGCACACTTCTTTCTCTGTTCCAGCAGTGGGGGAACAAGTGTATTAGCAAATGCCATATTCGATGCTTCTGGTAGTTTCATGCATCCGACAGTTAGATTTCATGGCAGCACATCTCCAGGGCAGTCGAGAGTCAGGGTTTCAAATAATGTAATGGTCCGAAGACGTGACAGCGCCCGCGAAATAGTGGTTTAGCCGCCGTCCGAGTTACTCGCGATGGCCGTAATAGCGCCTGCTTCGACCACAATCACGATAAACCCTAAATGACCTAAAACACGACCGCGATCGCGATTTGAAATCCTGGTCGAGACTGCAGCAAAGTGCAGCTTGACTTGGATTGAACTTTCGTCGGGTGGTATTTGGAGAGCCGATGATTTGATTCATGCTGTCTAGTTAAATACTGCAACGCAAACCAACCATCAACAGCCTTTTTTTTATTTATGTCACTAAAACTGTTGTTTACATTAAAATTGTGTTTTCTGATGAAAGTAGTTGTTCCTGGAACATCATATGTCTTCATGATTGGAATTTCAATTTTAGTTTTAATCATTTATATTTATTCAATTTAGTCCCTATTTATTTTTTTTCATATTTTTGCAATTTAGCCTGTTAACTTTTATTTTTCTCCTTGCAGATTTCAATTAATTCAATTTGATCATTGATTTTTAATTCTTTCCAATTTAATCGTTTTAATTTAAATTTTCTTTTATTTATTTCATTTATTTCATTTTAGTATTATTTAATTTGTTTTATTCTAACCCTAATATTAATTCTTCGCATTTTTCTTTTCTTTTCTTTTATTATTTAACTTTATTTTTGACTTTTTAGGACAATTTTAATCGATCAAAGGTAAGTAATTCAGATCGAATTTTAAATTTTATTTTAACTTTTAATTTTCGCAATTAAGACAATCGAGAAATTAAATTGGTACCGAAATGGTAGTACAAGGGTGCTAATCCTTCCTTAACTGTAATCGACTCCCGGATCTGATTAATTTTTGGTAAAACGCAGATCATGTAAAATGATAAATTAAGGTATCCGATCAACGTAATTTAAAATGATCTTTGACGGCTCTAACACATCAAAATTAAGTCGAAATCCGAAAGCAAAGCAGTTTACTGGAAATACATTTCAGCACATTATGTTTGATTGTTTTCCCTCCCGAAAGTAGACCTGGCATTTTATATTTTTTTTTGTTTCCCTCTAGTTCTAAGGTTTCGCCTTGGCTAATTGATCGACCCTGGTCGCACATCTAATTTTGGTGGATGAATCTTCCAGCGAATATTTTCTGCATATACAATGACTCGAACCTGAGACATTACTTAATAAAAACCCGATGCCTTTGTTGCCCTCCGGAAAGTTGACCTGGCATTTTATATTAGTAATTAGGAAAAGAATCAGTTTAATCTGTATAACAAATTAATTACTGATATTTTTGGGGTTTTTTTTTATAAAATGTAAGGTTCAAATTATTAAAACTGAAAGTAAATACACGAACTTCTCAAATTTTATATTCATAGAGAGATGGGATTCATTCTCCTCTTCAGTTAATCTAAAATTTAATTTAAAATATGAATAATTGACTCACGCGCTTGAAACTTGATAGGTGTAAGTTACTATCATACGCCTGGAACTTACAAATCATGTGACTTTAACCTATGACGTGAATAGGAATGGTAAAAGAAAATATTATAGGTTTTGGTTTGATTTTTTTTAAAATAAATAAATTGAGTTTTGTAGATGATAGATTTTTTTATTAATTAGGGTAAACTACGCTTTAGTATCTAAACTATCAGTTTTGATTTATTTTAGTACCTAAATTTTCAAATTGTTCAAAATCATACCTAATGTATAGTTTTTGTTTCATTTTAGTATAATGTCATTAAAACCTTAATGCGTTTAGTACATAAACTATCAGTTTTGATCCATTTTAGTATAATGTCGTTAAAAACTTAATGTTAAATTTTGAAAGGGTACTAAAATGAAACAAAAACTAAATTTTAAGTATGGTTTCGAAAAATTAAAAGTTTAGGTACTAAATCGGATAAAAATTGATAGTTTAGGTATTAAATACGTAATTTACACGATTAATTATATATAAGGGGTAAATTATACATTTAGTACCTCTATTTTTTGTTTGTTAATCTAATTATTTTTAAAAAAAATATATATCTAACATTCGGTTTAATAAAATAAAACATTACGTTTTGATTTTATTCTATTATCGTTAAAAATAATTTGATGTAACATTTTTAGTTTTTAATGATAACGTGATATTATCATATATGAGATGTCGGTATTATTGTTATTTTTTTAACGGTTAATGACCAAAGTGAAATAAAAACTAATATGTAATTTACTCTAATTATTATGACTCTTTTTATATTTAAAGATACTTATTATAATATTCATTTATATATATTTTAATATCTTATCAAATACTTATTAAATTTCAAAATCAAGATTGGGGTTGAAAAAAATTAAGGTGCCACGTGGCATCCCAAGAAATCAAGTCAGTCAATTTGGCAAAGATAGGGGAAGTCTATGCTAACAACCTTAATATACTATTAAGGAAAGACGTTATCGGAAATGTTAATATATTTTTTAATATTTTCTGTAAAGCTCTACTTAAAATATTATATTCTACAGGAAATTAATATTGAACGTTACCTAAAATGTTTAACATTTCCGATAAAACGCTACATAAAATATTATTTTTTTACCGAAAATATTAATATTAGGTATTACCTAAAATGTTATTTTTTCTAACAGTAATTAGGTAGCGAAATTAACATTTTTGTAAAAAAAATAATATTTTAGGTCATGCTTTATCAGAAATATTAAAAAAATATTAACATTTTCGGTAAAAGTTTTCCTTTAACTGTATATGTCCTTGTACTATGGCACAAAGTGCATTTTATTTCCGCAACTTTTAAAACGACCACAAGGATCCAAATGTTCGAGATCGTTTATTTTAACAATTGGGAAGAAAACCCTTTAATATTATAAAGTGGCATTTTTAAACGATGAAGACGTTCATCCAATGCATTGAAGCTAAAAAATATCCATCTACATTTAAGTGGCTATTACGATATGAAATCAAGTCGTTAAATATAATCGTTTAACTTTTTCAAGGTACAATGGATCAAATGAACATGTTACTTCATGATTTAAATTAATATTACATCAGTTAGAACCTACCAAGGGCTCAAGCTAGGGATGACAGAATGATCTGAACTCGACGGAGAAACTCGAAACCCGGTCAAGGTCGAGTCGGGTCGAATGATATCGGGTCGGGTATCGGAGATTTTTTCAGGGCTTTTTTCGGGTCGGGTTTTGGGTAAGGTATCCCCGCCCCGATTATATATATATATATATATATATATATATATATATATATATTTTATATATTTTATATTAATTATATATATAATAGTTTATATATTTTATATTAATTATATATATAATATTTTATATATTTTATATATTTTATATTAATTATATATAAAATATTTTCGGGTTCGGGTTTAGGTATAATATTTCGGGTCGGGTTCGGGGACGGGGCAAAAAAAATCCCGGAAGGGATGCCTCGATAAAAAACCCGTCGGGGATCGGGTCGAGGTCAAGGACGGGGATTCATTTCAGATTCGGAGACGGGACGAGCAAAACCCACCTCGAACCCGACCCGTTGCCATTCCTAACTCAAGCAGCTGAGTCTGTGAATGTGTATGTTGTCAATAATTGAGAAAAATTTTAAAAAAATATTATTTTATATACACCCTACATTATTAAAAAAAATATTAGATCATCTAATATAACTAATCTCAATACATAAAACCTATTAAGCCGCTTCTCCTTTTCCTCTCTAACCTAGAAGTCGTCTTTTATGTTTGTTTGTTTTTCATTTCTTTTGACATTAGTTTTAGTGTCGGTCGTTTTTATTTGTATTCCTTATTTTTTATTATTTTATATATATATTTATTAATTTTCTTTTTTTAGTTTTTAAATAATTTTTTTACGATACGTTTTTTTACTTTTATGAGCATTTAGTCATTTGATTTTTTCCATTTATTTTTTCATGTTCGAATTTGATGTAGTTTATTTGTTATCATGTTGATCTTTCATACTTTGGACCATAAAATTGGGCTTGATACACATTTTGTGTTTGTAGATAGTTTTCTCACGATACTCGCGTCGATTATGATTTGCGATTGTCGGTGGTTTTTTAGTTGTTTAATCCCATTCAGTGGTTCGTTTATCGATGATGTCAAATTTATTCGTGTTTTTCTTTTGTTCGATTTTTTTTGGATGAGTTCTAATCTTTTCATTGTATGGTCATTGTATAATATCGAGTTACTAGTTTATTGTGTAAATGATTATAGAATATGATAAAGTACACAAATGGTCCCTCAACTATAAGGCATAGCTTTGTTAAGTCTCTCGACTATTAAAAGTTACAAAATTATCCTCCAACTATAAGGTGTTGCTTTGTTAAGTCCATTGACTATTAAAAGTTACAAAATGGTCACCCAACTATTCATAAGTCTCGAACTCGTCATTTTCTGTTAAAAATTGACTGTTTTATGAGCTTGACGTTAACATGATGACTAAGATATGATAGTATTTTGAGATTTTATTATAATATTTTATCATTTCTTAATCAACAAGCTCAAACCGTCGTCAATTTTAATATAAAATGACGAGTTTGAGACATATGAATAGTTGTGTGACAATTTTATAATTTTAATAGTCGAGACACTTTACAACACAATACCCTATAACCATAACATTATTTCTACGTTACCCTGTAAGAAAATATTCTAATTACGTGTTTAATTTACAAACTTTATTATAATTTTAAATATTTACTCTTTTTAATAGAATTAGTGGCACAATTTGCATATAAAAAAGACATTTAATCAATCTCATAAAGTTTATAGTTATTTAAACTATTATAGAACTGAAATCTTTTTGCTCATTTCGAGAGTACAAGGAACAAAAAGCAAACCGTGCTTTACTCATTTTAAACTAAACAAGAGGCATACAGTTTATATAACAAGAAAGCCTTAGTTCTGTGAATCCAGATACCAAATTCCAAACCAAAACGAAATATATACAAGTGTGTATATATATAGATATTTTGTTATTTATAAATAAACAAATTCATGTAAGGCAGAGAAGATATAGTTGATTTGGAGCGATGATTCATTCATGTTTAGAGAAGAAATGGTTAACGGCTGGCATTATTTCTGGGGGACGAGTTCGAAGGAATCTGCGAAGTCCATGCTCTGCGTATTTTTCTCCTTCCTCGTAGTTCTCTAGCACTGCCTTGCTACGATCCGATTTGTTGATCCTGTAGACACAATTATCCGAATCTAAGATCTTCTGTTTATCACTTAGGTTATTTGATGGTTTCTTAATCCTATTTGTGTGTGGGGAAAGTGAGTTACCTGACAGCAGGATTTAAGAAAACATTCCTGGTAAGCTGAAAGACACACATGCTTGTCACAAAGGCCATTGCACCTACCAAAGGGTACACCTGAGGGGGGGGGGAACAAAACAAAAGTAGCCCATCAACCAAACAAAATAAAATCTTGAAATGAACCAAAAACAAAGGTGAAATCATTACCTCAGGCTTCATCCAACGCCCCATTGTAAAAAAGTTCTTTTTGACCTGGTGAAAATGAAGTTTCAAACAGTGTAGATTAGGCTGAAATTTTCAGGTACAGTTGGGGCATTTATAGTGCTACAAAATATGATGTGGAAAAGGCATCCCTTGACCTGGCTGATCAGCTAGGCCTGTATTTCAGTGGGCTACCATTTGACTTAAACCTCAAAACCAGGGGCTTGGAGCCTATGGTTTTTGCTTTAATTGGTAACTTTGAAATAAATCTTTTATTGCCTCATTGGGTTGACAAATTTTGAATGACTTGTAGAATGGCCTAATTCCTTTTCTAATCAATTTGGTAATCACAAGGAAGTAGGGTCATATTCAAGTAGTGGGACATATTACATGTCCAAAATTTTGTGCCTAGAGTTGATCAAAATGGGTGAAAGTAGCGGTATTGTCCTTTGATTAGTAAAGGGGTATGTCCATTAAAGACATTAATTTTAGTTTAGTTCAGGACCCATTTTTTAATTTGGGCCTGCATCAAATCTAACCTAAGTCTATTGTGAAACTTAGCATCCAAATTTAGGTCTACCCTAAGTGACCCAAATCAACTTAAATTTGAGTCTTAATTACTTGATTAACAAATTTTTCATCTTTCATATCAAGCAAAACCTTAATTATATATACTAAAAACTCATGAATGTTAAGGTCCTATTCAATGGAGGGTCTTGGTAAAGCAATTTGGAGATTTATTTTAAAAATTTTGGACGTCTAAATTATTATTTTTTTAAAATTAAGGGTTTATTTTTTATTTTTTAAAATTGAGCCCTAAATAAAATTTTCAAAAGTTTTAAAACTGGTAATACATTTAGAAAGTACGGAGGAAAAGTGGTTCTGAAAAGTGTTTTTAGGTTGTTTTATTTAAAAATCGAGTATTTAGGTTTGTTAAAAAACTCTTTTTTTTGTTGAAAAAGGTAATGGGGCCGTCTAGCTTTCCGTTCTATCCACTAGTAGCAGTTCCTCAGCTTTTTTAGGGCACTCTTCCAGAAAATTGGTATCTTCGTGGTGTTTCCACATCTGCTTGACGACGAAATCGGCGACACGATTGGCCTCTCTAGGTATATGATTCAGTTCTACTAACCAGTTTCTCTCTTCAGCATTTTCTCGATGTGTTGCAGAATAGTAAATTTCTTGTGATTAGGTTGATAGTTTCATTGTTATTCTTTTAAGTAGATAAAATATCTACTTTAGACATTATTATTATTAAAATATAAAAAAAATCGATCGAGGACAAATGAACAATTTTGATTAAAAGTGCTTTTTAAGTGGGTTTTTAACTTTTTAAAATTACTTTTCAAACCAAGTTGAAAAGTAGGCCTAAAAAGTTGCATGTTGAATATTGTTTCTAACCTAAAAAGCAAATTTGAGAGAGGAATTAATTATAATTTGGAGGAATGCTGTAATAAGGTGCATTGGGTGTATATCAAGGCATTCAACCCTACATTACATCAAACAAGTAAAGGGTTGATGTCTAGCTGTCGTGGTTAAGGTCTATACCATGAATCTTACCTGCTTGAGCTGCTCTATCACTTTCAACCCTTTCATATGGATACCACAAATGCTTAGCTCTAAATTAAACATTTATATCTGTGTGTTCGTAGGTCTGTATTTATTGGCCAAAATAAGGACATCGTCACCCATGGGATCTACGGCTTAGTTAGTGAAGGAACCAATTGTTTAGGGTTTAGGAATCCGGTACAAGGTTAGCCGACGACACATGCAAGTTACACACACGCACGGATGGGCATAAGTTGAGTTGGTTTCGACCAACCCAGTCCAATCCAATAAAAATACACTTTCTATTCGAAATCTAATTTGACTCGAGCTTAAAGTGATAGTGATTTACCTAACCCGATACATATATATTGTTAGAAAAAAATCGTTAATTCGAAAATGAAATAGAAAAAATAATGAGAATAATATTCAAATATCATTATAAAATCAAATATAAATAATGAGTTTACTCTGTCTTAGGATTGTTAGAAGTATAACAATCCGAGACCATAATCACGTCTGAGACAATAAAACAAATGAAACTAAACTTATAAAAAAGAATACTCTATTTGGTAAATCGATTGATAGGAAACAGTTTAAGCATGTCGCTACACAGTTTTGTTAAGACAAATTTTCAGCAACTCCTTTGGTGCTCGAGATCGTCAGTCGTCTTTCTCCCACAACACAACAACTAGATGATCAACTACATAAGCACAACTTCAAAGATCACAAACTATACCCTTGCCTTTATCTATCACTGGAAAACTAGTGGGAAAAACCTTTTTCTGAATTATTTCACGTTTTTTTAATTGTGAAAACTTGAAAGCTTCTAAACTTCTGAGATGTGTTTAACCTAGCAAATTAGCACAATATTTATAGGGGATTCTCAAAGGAAAAATAATCCTTTCAGAACTACAATTCTATATTCCAATCGAATATAAATTTATAATAATATATTCTTATTTTAATTGAATATAAATTCATAAATAATATATTTGTATTTAATCAAATGTAAATTTATAAATAATATATTTCTATTTCAATCGAATATAAATTTGTAATAGTATATTCGCATTTTAATTGAATATAAATCATTAAGTAATAGAACATTATCTAATTAATATTCTAATTCTAAAGAATCCACACAATATGTTTTTATTTCGAAATATTCAAATAAATATGCCATATTTAAGGACGATTCAATTATAAAAATTCAACAATTAATTCAACACATTTTTCCCAATGTATATATATATATATATCTTAATTTTATTAAATAAAACAGAGATATAATTGAAAAAATATAGAGATATTGTTGTAAAAAAGATTCAACCATTAAGAAAGCAAATTGGGGCAAAAAATATTCAAAGCTTGGTCACTTAAGAAACTAAACGTGTATCCAACCATTAAGCCAAAACCATTGCTTGGTCTAAAGTACACAACATAATGTATATATTTTGTATCTTAGTGTATAAATACTTAAATTCATAATATTTCATATATATTAACTTAAAAAAATATTTTTATATTAACCTATTAAATATATTTTATTATTAACTTAATTTAAAAATATTTTATTTTTAATATTTTATGTTAAAATGTATTTAAAAGTATGACTAAATTGAGAGAATATGTAAATAACATGATCAAATGTGTGATTATACCAACTATCACGTCACATATTCTATTAATTGTTAACAACAGTTAACCCGTGATGACCACATCTTAATTAAATAAAACGAAAGTGATCATACCTTAATTAAATAAAAACGAAAGTGAACATACCTTATGTTTTTCGAAATCATAGACTAAAGGTGGATAAAACATAAACATAAGTGATTATCCGTATAGTTAACCCAGGAATAAAAACTATGATTACATATGAACTTTATCTTATGAAAGAAAGTGGAAGATCCTCGACCTAATATATCTTATACTATAGGACCGATAACTAAGTTTGATGGATTAATTTGTTAAAATAAAGTCATACATTTTGAAAATCAATTAAGATAACGTTAACCAATCAATTAAGAAAATAGTATTGGTTAAGGTTTTGCCTTCAGTGAAATGATATTATGATATCTATCATTTTGAAAATCATCTTCATCATGCCATAATCAATCAAACTATATGCATATATTCTAATAATATGATCTCCAAATGAAATAATCTCACGGATTAATTAATTATTAATTCAATAAAAATAAGAAAAAAAACCCTAAGACAAAATCAATATATCTCTATAAATAAATTATTTATTATTTTATTAGATGAAGTTTTATAAATATATATTTTTACATAAAATATGTTTCACCGGCCTTCACTAACTGTTACAAGACTGGTTTTGTCCCGGTTGATGAGTTCTTAACGCTCTCAAACAAAACACCAAAAAAAAAAAAACCATGCATGCCTTTAAACAGTAATCGTTTTGACTTAGAACTGTGGTTAAATCAATGAATTTTATGAATTTGGGAACGCCTGTGAAAGTGATTTTGGTCCAAAATTCCGTTTAAAACGTAAGATCATTCTCAAACAATTCATTTTCAGCCGGAATTTCACGTTTAAAATGTGATTATTAACTTAAATCAAGAAGCTGAAAAAACGATACTTTTGCGTTGAAAAAGCTCGTTTGGAGAAATATTCCCAAACAAACTTTAACTATTATAGAAGTAAAAAGGGAACCGGTATGGATGGCTAGCCTTAAATTCTTTTTTAATAGTTCATAGTGATTTATAAGTTAGTATCTGTTCATAATCTTTCTTAGTCATTGACAACGCACATATACTCTACAGATATAACTACTTTAATCCAGAACCTCTAAAGAGAATAATATTCATTTTTACTATTAAAGCCGGGTTAAATTAAATTAAATTATATATATGTATATTGTTAGTGAATATATATATATTTACCTAATCAAGAATGCATGTATGCGTCCATGACCTTCTCCAGAGTTTCTGGCCGTATCAATGACCTTATCCAGACTTTTTGGCAGTCCCGCACTGAGTGTGAGAAGGACACCTTCCTAACTGTGGGATCGATTAAGTTCTATTTCCATACAAAATTAAATCATTGGTCATCATTTCTTCATATAACTATTAATATTTAATTAATTGTCCTATTAATTTATATAAGGCGACGCATAGATTCATTATGAGATTGATTCTCTCAATTTAATTTGTTTCATTCACAACATTAAAATTCAAACTCTCAACCGTAATTAAAATATCTAACGTCTAATCTTATTAAACTTAATTATCAGTCTCTCTTTGGTTTCTTTTCAGTTTTTTTCTATGCATAATGCATTTAGAAACTTGCCATGTACGTCTTCCCAAACCCCACATTTACATCATTATTTTCTCTCTCTTTTTCTATAGGAAGGGTCTTTCGAAGCACAGTTCAGGCCATTGTTGTTAGACAATTTGAGTCGAATGACATCTCCTTCATTGTATATATTAATGGCATGATCTTTGATTTATTGTATATCGTTGATTGGATTTCTGATTTACCAATATATTTTTGGCATGATCTATA